AAGGGTGCCATCTCTCACAGTGTGTACCTGAGGGAAGGGTACCATCTCTCACAGTGTGTACCTGAGGGAAGGGTACTATCTATCACAGTGTGTACCTGAGCTAAGGGTACCATCTATCACAGTGTGTACCTGAGGGAAGGGTACCATCTATCACAGTGTGTACCTGAGGGAAGGGTACCATCTATCACAGTTTGGAAGTCATGTTGGTGGAGCAGCTCACAGCTGTGGCAGCAGGAGCACAAGGCTGCTTGCTCACATCTCAATGGATCAGAAATCTGAGACACACACTAGAGAAAATAGGTGTGGCTATAACCCCCAAAATCTACTCTCCATGACCACTTCTTCCAGATAGGCTCCGCATCCCAAAAGTTCCATTAACTCCCCAAATAAGAGTTTCAAATGCAAGCCTTTGGGGAACATTGCACACTGAATTCACGTCAATGTAAGAGAGAGGCTAAAACCTTTCCAACTCTTCTTTGCTTTACTAGAGGATTTCTTTAGCACTATGGCCAGCACATACACGGTGTTTACCATCTGTAAGTAGCAGCCACTTACCGTGGCTCCTGGGATGCCAGACACCACAATCTGTGCTTTATAAGTAGCTCACTCACAGTTCTCAGCAATTCTGCATAGCTTCTAATGTCCCAGCATTTTACAAAGAGCCAAAGCATAAGAAAATGAGGCTGTCACAGTTATAGATATAATTACAGAAGACAACACAGGCTCCCCTCTCTTAGATGCCTCTGTAAATGCATATGATAATGACACTCATTCAAACAATCACCAAAATTCTTTTTGAACACCCACTTTGCAGAGGAACCCTAAGTGCAGCAGTGAATGAAACAGTTGTGTTCCCTGGGGTTAGAGGATTTACAATCCAGTAGCTGTGATTTACTAAGTATTTGCCACATCAGGCATGGAGTTGAGTGCTTTGTATGAATTCTTGTTAATGCTAAACACACCTTTCCACAGCTGAGATTATATACTTTATATAGTGTTATATCCTACTTATCTCGTGGAACATTATATTGCAGCTTTCAAAGAGGATTCTTATGGGTTACACAGCCACCTCAACTTTACTTAGATACTAAAACTGACTGATCCTTTTGTTATAACCTTTCACACTGTGACATTAGCCTCCTGGATGTCCTCTTTCCAGCAGTCAGAGTTGTAGGAGGACAGTGGTAGCCATCTCCATCCCCTTCACTTATGGCTGGCTTTAAGTATCCCACAATTGTTCTTGTGGTCCTCTTCTTCGTGTATATATTTTAAAGCAATGTCCAAAGCTGACATGCAGAAAGCTAAGTAACAAGAATTATGAGAGTTTCAGCTGGAACAGCTGTTCTCTCAGAGATGGCAGATCCTTGGCTTTGATGATGCCAGCCAGCTGGTTAAGGCAGTCTCACTCCCAAACACAGCTGTCGGGAAGGAAGGCCACATTGTTACATTTTCTCTGTTAGACTCAGACTTGAAACAGGATAAACTGAATAACTGTATAGACCTGAGATCAACTGGGGCAAGGTTAGGAAGAGGAAAAGAAACTTTCATTTCCAGAGTAGCTCCTAGTAATAAACTGACTGACTGGTGCTATTCACTTCTGCAATCTCTTAGAGCCTTTATAATGTAAGAAAAATAGAGGGGCTGTGGTTACTGTTGAGCCCAAGAGTTGCAACCTCTAAGAAACTCTCCTTCCCTTGTCCTCAATCCATGCTGAGCCTCAGCCACTCTGTGGTTGACATATCAATGAGCACTCTCTTTGACAGTTAAAATGGCTCCTAGATATGTGTGCTTGTGCCAGCTAAGCTCTGAGCTGGATATCTCACCTGACTCCTCCAAGCTGAAGGTCAGCATAGCATAGGACACAGCATTACAAGAGCCATCTCTGATTCTACCCTGTGGCTGGGTCCAGGGACCTGAAGCCCTGGAGTTGCAGCAGCCATTCAATCAGTTCATTCTCTCCAGCCAAACTTCATGTGAAGCAACTGCCCCAGTCCCATGAGAATGGATTGTTAGCAAGTAATGGCATCTCTTAGAACTCTTTTGCCTCTGGCCCAGTACCTTCAGCAATCCCTTGCTGAGAGCATCGAGTAATGAATACAGAGTTAGGGACAGGCCAGGTCCTAGTAGCCTCCCATGACTCTTTGCCTCTGGCATCCAGATATTATCTATCTTCCTAATGAAGGAAGATATATCCACTATCCACTGTAGTACAAAGGGAAAAGATGGCCGATTGACAAAGAGAACATCTATTCTTTCTAATAACTGGCAGATGTTCATTTAGACACAGACTGTTTTGAGTAAGACACATATTTACACAGATGTATGAAAGACTGCCCCACAAACACAGTAGGAAGTGACACAGGAGCACAAGAAGGAGAATGTCTCTCAGCTCACTTGTTATTTTCTTGTAAAGTTACCTAAGCTGACCACAATCAGCTCTACAAGGGAATTTTTACCATGAGTAGGCACTCCAGACCCAAAGGCCAGTTCTATGGGTCTGATTATGAGCCAGGTACAGGTGTCTAAAGAACTCTGTTAAGCTGTCCTTGGGATTAAATACAACATAATATGCACAAGAGCACATTGCAAAATCTAAAGTGCTAGGCACAGGACCAACAGGTTATTATTATAGTGTTTTTTCCTAGATGCAAAGGCACCATTGTAAATGAAGCCACCTTGACACAAACAGACAGCAAGTGGTTGGCATGGTGGTATAGGACTAATCTGGATACCCAGGAGGTAAAAGCAGGAGGTTTGCTTTACAAGTTGAAGTCAAGGCCAGGCTACAACCTGAGTTCAAAGCCTGGAATACACAGCAAGAATGTGGAAGTTACTGTCCACATGGATGCTGCTCATTTTGAACACTTCAGTACATGCCAGTTGATTTTCCAGCTATCTTGTGGCCATGCCAAGGGTTTGTCTATGCTAGAAGTTTAAACTGGAATTCTCATGAGTCTGAATTACACAGCTCTGTTGGCTACTCCAATTCTATCGCACAAATGAAGTTTTCTTCGGGTCGTGAAGAAAGCTGCTGTACAAAGGACCCTGTAATCTACAAGCATTAACTCATACAATCTACAAGGTCTACCACGTGGTGGGAACAATGTACTCATTTCACAGAGACTTTCCAAATTAGCACAAAGAGCAAAGCTTTATTCTGTGCCCCAAGTGTCTAGCTCATACTCTCTGACTTACAAACTAATTCCAACTTAATCAGGAATGCCTTCCACATAAAAGCTAGGAAGACTGTGACCCTGCCAGGAGCCACAAGTGAATACAATTATAAAATGAAAATACAACTGCGAGGAACCTTTCCAAGTATCCCCAATTTCAAGTTCCCTGTGAGTAGAATTAACACATCCATAAACACTAGGCTCCTTTTTCCTCCTTAAGCCAGGCAGGACAGTGTCAGGGTTGGCCTCTCCCGTCAGCCAGCCTTGGGTGAGCTCTGGGTCTTGATGCACACCCACACACCACCTTCAGACCTTACTGTCCGTGATAGCTACCATACTGCCATATCCCCATATCAAATATAAGAAGGGAATTTAAAGGACTGTGATGTGTAAAAAGCAAATGAGCCTTGAAGCTAGAGGGACCTGAGGTCAGATCCTGCCTTTGTCACCTACTAGCTGTATTATCTCAGACAAGGTCTTTAACTCCTCGGAGCCCATTTCCTTATAAAGATGAACATATAACACTTGCCTTGCACAACTTTTCAAAAGACAAAGAATATAAAATGAGTAAACATTACACTGGTAGAGCACAGGCAGGAAGCACTGTAGTGTAAATGTTAGCAACATAAAATCCACTGAGTGTTGTTATACTGTTATATTTACATGCCTTAAAAGGCATGAATTATTCCCTTCACAGTAACTCTATCAGGGAGATGCAGTTACTGACATCTTGTAGAGAAGGAAACTGAGTCTCACAAAAATCAACTGATTTGTTCAAGGTCACACAGCTAGACAAAGACCTAGACGGCCTGATTGACTGAGGCCTAGCTAGCTGGGTCTTGTGTTATGAGAGA